TATATATATATATATATATATATATATGTGCTCAGCTTCTGCCGTTGTTTCTCTGTCCAAGTTATTGTCGTTGAGATATTTGGGGCGGGGTCCTAAGCGAAGGCACGGACTTCTCTTTTTTTTACATCTAATTTTTTTTTTGTCCTGTTGCCGTTGGATACTCGGTTTATTTTTCCTGTTCCTGTCAACAGAAATGAGATTATCATTCAGCACGCCCATAGACGAAAGCCGCGAAGAACACGAATCCTCCACGGAGAGAGATGCAACAATCGTTACGCGACTCTGTTAAGACAGTAGAAGGAACTGACATGGGCTGCTGTTGTGTAGTTGTCATAACAACTCTCCTCGGTTCTCTCTTAAGACTTTTCATTTCCATCTTACTTCCACCGTCCTGTGCTTGCCAGTTCACTGGTGTCTGCTGCTGTGTCTGTGCACGCGCAGCAGTCCGGTGTGAATCACACAGCCCATTCTCAGAGAGGTGAGACGAGTAGGAGGGGATTCCAGCCAGATATCTGCACAGCCACCGACTGCTGGAGCTGCCACTTCTGCAGCAACGAGGACGAAGGCCCTTCGTTTCTTCACTGCCTCTGTCTCTTCACATCAGGTTTTTGGCCACCATTGACCAATCACACCGTCGTTTTGTCCTTGTTGATATTATGCTCTCTTTTGTCCTCTTTGTTTATTCGTTTGGTCGTTGTCTCACAGGGTGGAGCACGAGGATACCGAAGACATGCCTTTTAACGGAGGATGCCGTGCTCCCCCTGTTGATGATTGCAACTTCGCGGCGCCACCGCCGCTGCTCCACAGAGTGCATGCGCTAAATGCATTGCTACTGCCTTCCCTCCCCCAAATCATCCCCACCCCACCCCGGTCTGTGCATCTCTCCCATTTTTTGTTTTCCTCAAACACAAACTTGAAGGGAAAGTACGACGTGTTTTTGCCTCCCAGCGACGCATATTCGCGCCAAGCCAACAAATACAGCAGTCTTCCTTTCACGCGGACGCATAAAAGTATGATTTCGCAGATATTTGAGACAACGGCACTAGATCTGCTCCGGCAGGACGGCACCACAGTGGCGGCCGCCACCGCCCTGCAGGGGAAGAAGTATGTGCTGCTGCTCTTTTCTGCCAGCTGGTGCCCTCCGTGCCGTATATTCACGCCACAGCTCGCAACGTTCCACGAGTCATTTCACAGGTCACACAACTTTGAGGTCGTCTTTTTCTCACAGGACCGCGACGAGAGCTCAATGTTGGCGTACTTCTTCAACCCCAAGTATAGCCGGTCGGCCTTCCGTGGCGGGGAGGGCTCACATGGCAACTGGCTGGCGGTGCCCTATGCGCAGGCCAAGACAGTGGGGGCGGCGCTGATGCGGCGGCACAAAATTCTCGGCATCCCGACGGTGCTGGTGTTCGACCTGGAGAGCGGCGAGCTCGTGACAGGCAACGCACGCAACCTGGTGGTGCAGCACCTGCATACGGCGGAAGGCTTTCCGTGGGCCGGCAGCGCTGAAGCCGAGACGCAGTCCTCTGCATGGCAACATTTGGTGGCAATGCTGGTCTTCGTAGTTCTGTATTATCTCTGGCGCTGATTCCATTTTCTTAGCTTCAGTTACAATCGCCATTTCTTCCCATTGATTTTGATTTTGCCTTTTTTTTGCCTTTTTTTTACCTTTTTTTTTGTTTTTAGCTGTTGTTTTCATGGTTTTTTTCTTCTTTATGTTGCCCTGTGGCGTGTCCGTTGTGATGGAAACGAATGCAGGGGGGCCGGAAATGGGATGAGCGCTCTTTGCTAGATGTTTTGTTCGGTTCGCTTGTCTGTGAGCGGGGCTGTGCCTTTTCGCGTCATTCGTGTATGCGCGCTGAAAGAGTATACGGATTGACGCCGAAAAAAAAGCGCGCGCACACACACACAGGGGGGGGGG